AACGCCCTTTTTTCATATTCATGATGAAATATATATACATATATATATCCATTTGGTGAAGCATTTGTAGTAAAAAATTTTATTCTTTAACAAGCATTAAATAAGAGTTTTATTCAGAAAATATGTTTAATCATCTTGGAGCTGCATTAGCTGGAGGTCTTGGTCATGGTGGATATGGATTATATCATCCTCACCATTATGGTCATTTTGGTTTTGGAAATCCTTATCATCATGGATATGGATTGGGTGGATATGGTGCTCCATATGGATATGGTTACCAAGGATTTGGTCATCATCATCACCATCATATATTTTAAAAGAAATGTTGTACGCTGTTTTTTTTTTACATTGTAACTCTTTTCTCTATTTTCATTATAAAAATGCAAAGATCGAATTTTGAACAAAGTTGAAGTTTTATTGTTCGATTAGTTTGATAAAGTATATCTAATCTAAATGATAGATAAATACTTTTGGAACATCCTTCAAATATTGTCATGTTAAGAGACGGCCATGATCGAATTGAGCAATTCGTAATTGTGTGTACTACAAAAAAAATGTTGACTTATGTTTCTGATTATCACGACTAAAAGAACACATAGAAAAACTTAGAAATACAAAGTTTTAGCATTTTCTGAGTGACTTTTGAACAGATATGAAAGAAATATTGAAAATACTTTCATGAAGTTCCAAAATAATGGTCATGTTTTTTTTGTTTTTTTTTCCTGGGTGTATTTAGATTTTGCTTACATTATTTGTTAACATATCTATGGAGGATCAATGTTCGAACAACAGTACAAAAACCAATGGAATAATTTTTGAAAATTTTATGGTATTTTTCATAATTTCTATGAAAAAAGTATCAAAAACAAAACATCAAGACTGGTAATGATTGCTTATGAGTTTGGTAGAATGGACAAAACTGCACGAGATGCACCCAAAAAAATATCTAAAAGATATGCACATAGCATTTTAATTTAGCACAAAAGATAAAAGAGTATTATCTTTATCTAACACTTTTTTAATAGTATTTTGAAAACTTGTCAATCAAACGAAAGTATAAAATATTTTGTTTCAATTGTCAGAGCATTTATCTTAATTTAATATATGAAGTAAAAGTGGAGAGAAAATTTATTATTTTTAATCAATTTATTCCTGGTGGTTTTTGAGCTTCAATTATTAAAAAATTTGGTTTTGGTGGTACATGATATTATACTATATTATTATATTGATATTGATATAATTCAATGTATTAGGTTGTGAACTTGAAAATGAACACTTAGTAGTTCGAAACATCGAAATTGATTAAAAATAATAAATTTTCTCTGTACTTTTACTTCATATATTAAATTAAAAAAAAACGAAAGTATCATTAAGACTTTCTCACAACCGAAAAACTATGAAATCTAAACCATCTAGAATCTATTTCTCATCTTTGCGTGACAGTCGATCGAATGATGAATGAGTGACTAATAATGACGGATCAAAAAGATCTAGTTGCATGAGTTGAATAAAATTGTTCAGTACAGCTCTTTAGATCGTTTCGTTCAGACTACTATGAATAGACGATGAGGGTGCGGCAGATACTGAAAAAAGATGAAAGCTCAGGTCGCCAATGATCTCATTCGATTCTTCATCACTCCAAAAACTATGTTTTACTGAGCTCAAAGCACACTAAGGTTCCTTGATCCCACCCCCCTGCGTACGCCACTGGTCAGAAACGTCAGATAAAAATAGCATATGTCTTATTAAATCGATGTGTTTCACGACTTTTTCTCCGCATCGGCAGCAGATTTGTTGTACATAGGAATATTAAAAACTTGATTATTCATATATATTAAATCTTACAGAAGTAGCTATAGTTTAGACAGCAATGCTAGTTGTTGATTTTCCAATCAATAGTATACCTAAGGAAACAGTCAGATACTTAGATGATCGAAAATCCTTAGCTAAATCATCCTAGCGTTTCGTAGAAACATTTATTACACGTAGGCGAAGAGCTGACTGATAGAAAGCGCTTGCCTTGCGTCTAGAAAAATCGTGCTCGAGAAATATTCATGCTACAGCTCATCAAAACTCAGAAAGATATCGCTGTAGGATCTCTCTTTCTGAAAAACAAACATTGTTTGTGTGATGATGTCAAAGAGCGCATAATTATTTGATGCATAAAAAGCGCTTAGCACGATCTCTGAGGGATTAAGATGCGAAAAATAATGTAGCAGTTCTTGTCGATAACAGAGACATTGTGTTATTTTATCCATTTTGGAACAGACGTCTTCACTATCCGTTTACTTCATCATCTAGAAATGCAATAAGAAGGTAATTCTGGGTGTAAGTGTGGATATTTGTTCGTTATCGAAAACAAATCTCGTTTATGAAACATAACAAGAACTGCTATTGTGTCTTATATCAATCGCTTATTCTCAAATCTTATTGAATTAAACAATACTAATATTATGGGCCATTATCACAAGCGACGTGATTAGAAAATCGAAGAGACGAAATCTAGTATGGATTGACAAAGATTAAAAGCTTGTTTTCATACCTTTTTCATGAAGGTTAGTCAAATGTCATAATCTATCTCATATTAAAATGCAACAACATCATCCGTGTTTATTCCACTGCATTTCATCAATCATATATATAATAAATTTTGGATTTTTTGTACTCGATATTCCAAATGTGTCAATGGTTGTGCTATTGCTTTCGTATGATGTTCCATTTTTTTATTTCATTTATAATTTCATAATCAATCAATTTTCAAAAATGAATATTATTTCAAATCATTATACTGACTCTAAAACAAGAAAATTGTGATGCTTTTTTCCTGCTTAATCTGATAAGTACAATTATTTATATTGTGTACAACATAGTTATGTCTAAATGGCACTTTGATTTGGATTTTAAGAGTACTATTTTTAAAATCCACTAGCTGTCAGACCATTGATGCATATCGATGTGAAAAAACTCGTGCTTGCTTATCCTCGTAAAAGAACGTCGTTTTAATGCGTAAATTATCCACGTGCATCATGTTTTCAAACAAGACAATAGCAATCTACTCATTTGTCAATGATGTTTGAGTAGATCGATTATTATCGTCCGCTTCTATAGACTTTAACCTGTAATCTACGTACGAATAATTTAGACAATGCTTTATTCATATTTATGACGATGTATTCATATATATCCATCGATTTTTCTCTATATATATGCATGAAATGAAATCATTTTTCGTAAGATATTTCATACTTTAACAAGCATTAAATAGGTGTTATTCGTAAGGTATGCGTCGTTTTCTTGGAGCTGCATTAGGTGGAAAAGTTGGCCTGGGTCTATATGGATTATCTCATCTTTACCGTTATGGTCAATATGGTCTCGGATATCCTTATCGTCGTCATTTTGGATTAGGTGGATATGGTTTTGGACACTATCCCTACCGTCATATATTTTAAAAGAAATATTGTATGCTGTCTATTTCTTGAACATTGTAACTCTTTCCTCTATTTTCATTATAAAAATATAAAGATCTAATTTTAAAAAGCCTGAAGTTCTGTTGTTCAAATAATTTGATTTAACAGATACAGATTAGTTCATAAAGTAACCTAATATGTAAAGGATAGATAAATACTTTTGGAACATACTTGATATATTAACGTATTAAATTATTATTCGGTAGTAAATGAAGTTTCAGAAACAAAGCTCTCATGACTAATCAGTTGTTTTCTTTACCATTCAGACAATAGGGATAAAAAATACATTTATACTCATTTATCTACCTACAACGAATAAAAACCTTCAAATAGGAAGTGCATTACGAAAAATCAGCAATAGAATTTTTTTAAATAGAAGAAAAGAGTTGACGCTCAAAACATTACTAAGTACTTGTAAAAAAGTTTCCGCACAATTGAGTATACCATATCCGATAAACGAAGCTAACTCGACTGTTTTTTTTGCGTATGTTTGATAAAACGAACAAATTTCATTGTTTTCAAATAAAAAAGAAGCGTTTTATTTTTTCGTTTTTTATTTTGAAGTTAATTTTTCAAAACATATTTAATAGATCGAGGACATTTAGAAGCATATCTAAAGTGAAAAACAAACACTCAACATTGAAAAGTTTTAATCAATCAAAGAAAAGTTCTCTTAAATTATTTCTTGTTTTTTTCAAAATCAAGACTTGAGTATTTAACGTTGATCACTAGGATGGGTCTTTATTTATTTCAAAAAAAAAAAGAAGAAAGCGAAAAATAAAACAAAATAAATACACAAAATATCGTCATATCACAGTTTTTGTTTCAAATTTAGTATCATCATGTCCTGTTGTTTCATCTTGAGTCATAATATATTTTGTAACTGCTGGAAATTGTTTACAAAAAAATTTATCAAACTCTTCATTTCCCATTCGTATAACATGAATACGAATAAATTCTACAGCAGCCATGACATCAGGATGACATATTTCATGAGGTCGTAAATCACTCAGAACAGCTTTAAACCGAATAACCGTAGCTTTATCACTTGGCTAAAAATAAACAAAGACAAAACAAAGACAAAATAAAGACAAAATAACCTAATTGAATTATTCCATTTATAGAAAAAAAAGAAAAATATTTACATTAGCAAATTCTTCCATTTCTTTTAAAAGAAGTATTATTATATGATCTTCACTATAATCTGATTGGACCAATTGCAATAAATCAACATACCTATTTCAACAAAGAAAAGATTCAATTTATAAATTTTACTTTTTGAAAACAAACCATGATTGATATTTGAGATAAGCAGCATCGATTTTCTTTTTATCTTCATCATAACGTAAATGTTTTAATAAACGATCAAGTATAGTTAATGGTGGCATATTTTCTTGAAGTTCACGTAATTTTGTTTGACAATAAAAAAGACGATCATTATCAACTTGTTCAAGTTTATTATTTAAAATAATTGATTGTTCTTCTGTAAAATCATTAAAATCTCGTTTGATTTTATGTAAAATTTGTGCATGACGTCTTGATTGACCTGATCTAAAATATTAAATATTTTTGTTTGTTTTTGAACAAATAAAAATTTTAGCTTTTTCTTTCAATACCCAACACTTGTTGTTGAACGACGTTTAATATTTGTAACAAGTTTATGATCAATTTCACGTGTTCGACGTACTTGAACTTGTTCTTTATTAACATCTGTCGTATTTTCTAATCCAAATATATGTTTGAGATCATCATTATCACCCACACGTAATAAACGTAGTTGTGCTTCCTAAAGATTTTTAATTTTTCGGTAAAAGAAAAATCATTTTTTTTTTTTTCGTAAAATAATATTTAAAATTAAATAATAAATAACTTACATTTAATGGTAAAGGTTCCTCGGAATTTTTTACTACTATTTTTTGATTTCTCATCCATCGTTTAAGTAAAACATCAGGACTACGTCGTCGTTCTATAATTGATGATAGATGACCTAATGTAGCGCGACCAGTTGATTGAGCAAAATTAGTTGATGTTGATGTTCGACTTGTATTAGTTATGAATATAGCAGGTGTAACTCCAGTTGAACGTACATTTGTTATTTGATGACTACTATCTAAATTCATATTATCAGTTGAATCACCTTGATTACTTCTTGATGATGATGATTCATTAAGATCAGAATCAATATTTGTTGAATTTAATTGTAAATCTAATCGTTCACTAGCATCACTTAATCTACTACGATTTCCAATGTGATCATCTTTAATAAAAACAAGGTGAAAATTTGAAAATGAAATAATTTATTTTCAATTATGAATAATTACCAAAACTAGTTTCAGGTAAACGACTTATACTTGATTCAATACTTAAATGTTGTCTTCTTGAATTCTATAATGAAAATTAAAAAAAAAAAAATTTTTTTTGTTTTGTTTGCTAAACTTTAGATGAAAATAATAAGAAAAGAAGAATATTAAAATTATTACATCCATATTTGCAGCTGCTGTTCGTAATGATCCCATGGTATTTTCTTTGGATATATTGGTTGTTGTCGATGTCAATTTAGCTTCGGATGAAAGGAATTTAGGATGATGTCCTTTGTTAGATTCATGTTGTTTTTTCGCTTGTTGATGATGATGCGTATGTAGATGTGAACGAGAATCATTTCGTAGCCTGTATTTAAAAGAAAAAAACAAGTATTGAGATACAAAAGAAAAAAGAATAAACAAAATATATGGGGAAATAGAAATAACACTATTAAAATACTTACCATTGATCAATATTCCAACATCCACTAATTACTTCGGACCAATCTGATCGAGCCATAGCTCGTAATAACCATAGAATACAACATAATTGACGATATAATTCATCTCTAAAGAAAATGAATTATTATTTCAATTAAAAAAAGAAATAAAGAATATTATTGCAAATTTACCTAAACGGCATATGTCTTGTAAGACGTAGTCTTGCTGAAAGACTACTATAACGTGGTGTAAATGGACGTAATGTTGCTTGTCGAATATTATTACGATTCAATGGTGGAGCTGATTGACATAATTTCATTGAAAGAAATGATACTCTGTCCAATAGAAAAATATGTCGATTACTTCGTAGACGAAACTTTTAAATAGAATATCTCACTCAGGAGGTTGATTTTTACGTAATTCAGGTATTTCTGCGGTGTCCGTGCAAGTTACATTTGTATTGGTGATTGTTCTTGGTGACATAATATCATCACGAATATCACTCACGCTGTGATTATAAAATGTGTATTGACGAATAGGTGCAAGTGTACAAATTACGAAAGCATAGATAAATTTATTATAACTTACCTTGATCCATCCATATCATCTTCTTCTTCAAAATCATCAAGTAATCTATCATATAAAATATCCGATTCTTTTTCATCATGACTAATACAAGTTGTTGCATGAGAATCAGCAGTATCCACACGATTATTAAGCTATTAAAAAATAATTATACATTTTTTTATATATGAAATATTTTTAACATACTGCTCGAGGAAATTTTCCAACCACATCTTTAATACTCTGACCCAATTGAACACTTTTTAAAATATCACTATAAAAAAAATCAATATAAAAACAAAAACATTCTATTTATTTTTATGAAATAGTTTCTATAAGCAACGGATGATGACTCAAATTGACATTGTGAAACATTTTCCTATGTATATAGTACGAAAAACAACAAATCAAGTTGTGAATTATAGATCGAACGTGTAAAAAGAATATTTCATTGCGTCGATTTTTCTCTGGCTGTGGCACACTTGTCTTTTACGAGTCTATAATAAACTCTAGGAATATTATTTCTTTCACGGACTTTTGTTTTCAATCAATATCATTACATTTCTATTGTATTCGCGTTTAATTAAAAACAGAAAAAGAAAGAAAACGATTTTGAGAACTACTTTTACCTTGATTTTTTCATATGCTTTTGTTGAGCTGTTTGTAAACGTCGAATATTTGTTTCAAATTGTGTTTTCATCTATTAAGAGAAAAGAACTTTATGTATTTCTACACGTTATACATTCGTACCAAATTTTCATCGTGTCCAACAGAACCAGATTTCGGTCGATTGAATCCATTTCCATCACTCGACATTTTCGAGTTTGGTTTTGCAGAAGTTGCATTAGATGTTCGTTCATTCTAAATTGTCAAAGTACTTGATTTCTTTTCTAATAAAAAAAAACATATAGATAGTTTTACCGTCATCGGCTTTGGAAGTTCAGGCGACAAATGAACTGGATCAATACCTTGATATGGAACTGTTCTTGGACAACACCAGCCTTGTAATTCTTGAGCTTTTCGTCGAGCATAATTTTCTTGTCGTACAATATCTCGTGAAGGAAACGATGGTTCACATACATGTAAAGTTCGAATACGTACACGCGATGCTTGAGATGTTAAAGTCGACGATGTCATTGGTCTGCTATAATCATTGTTTGATTGCGAAACAAGCATATTGAATTGATCAAAAAGAGAAAACGTTATGTATTCCTCTGTATTTGTTACAAGACTTTGTTTGTCTTATAATGCTTAATGTGTATGCTTTTTTATGTGACAGCCATTTTTTGATTTCTTACCTTCTCTCCAAGCCCTCATTTTTTTTTCTCTCGTTCTCACTTTACACTTTCGTTACTACAATCAATGAATGTTGACAGAATAGAAAACTAATTGTAATAAATTGTTACACTTTATAGAGAACTGTTTTTCTCAGCAATTTGATAATGAAAAACTTTTTACAAACAATAAAATAAAAACTAAACAAGTTCTTATTAAGTTGTTTATATGAATTAAAGATTTATATAGATGAAGAGAAGAATTTTTGTTTATAAACTGAATGCAAGTCATCAATATCATGACACGATGAATTTCAGAATAAACACAAGCAAATGTCAAGTCTTCTATGTATATATTATTCACCATTAGTGAAAGACAAAATGTTTTGTTGATCAAAGCTTTTAGATAAGTTTTTTATAAAATGCATTAGAACAATTGTTTTTGTTGCATTGTAAGAAAAAGAAAAAAAGAAAAAGAAAAAGAAGAAAAAAGAACCTTATTATGATTTTAACGACAAAATCAACAAATCGGCCCTTGACCGACACCATTGACTTATGTTATAAATGAGATTCTATCGAGAACAATTAAGAACGTAACATTTTCACTGAAACTGATCGATGATGAAGAGTAAATAAAAAGAAAATCATCTCGAGAAGTTTGAACATGAAAAAAAGGAAAGTCTATATATTTGAATAATCATTAATATTTTTACTCTAATATTTCATTGATCTTTCAAACAAGAGAAATTATTTTATTATTAAATTAGAAATAATTATAAAACAACAATGACAAAAAACAATTTAGTTATTAAGAAGAATTTCAATGTTTTATCATAGTTACTCTTAAAACTCTATATAATAAATCCTATATTCCATAAAAATACTTTTAAATCATGCTGAATCAATTGAAATTTGATCTATTTAGAATTTTGATGATGATCGAATTTCAGTTAAAATACCGTACAAATGCATTTATATTGCCATATAATTTTAACAAAGATTGCATAGAAATTATGATGGATTAGTCATTTAGTGCACATAGTAAAACTTATTGAAGCAAAAAAATATTTCACTTTATTTGTAGGTTGCTAAATCACAAACTTGAAAATTGGAAATACATCAGAAAAAGCTATTTTTTACAAATTAGTGTTTATCATTTTATAGAGATGGAATTAGTTCGATTCGGTTCGTAAAAAATACTTAATGTCGGCACCTTTCATTTAAATCAAAATTTTATATTGCTGCAGAGCTGAAGAAATTTTTTACTTTTATGTGTTAGAATAGTGCATTGACTTTCCTTGAGTAAATTATAGTCAGCTAAGCGTTTAAATCATTTTTATCAATATATAGTTGGGTAGAACGTTGATTTGTCTATTCACTCATGTAATATGAGTCTGATTTAACTGAGCTCTTATAGGTAAATTTTGGATTATACGAATAGTAATAAAAGTTTGTTTCTTTTTCATTTGTACTAAATTGGCTAAATGTCAACAGTAAAATTAAGTTTTCTTCTTAAATTCACCACGGTTTCATTTAATACTTTCTATACCTTCAAGTTTGATGGATCTCTTCAACCGAAAATCATTTTTGTGAATATTGGGGTTTTGTTCAAAGATTTTCAAAATTTATTAAAAATTTCACGAAGATATGAAATCAAAAACTAATCATTTCGATAGAGTAATCAGAGCTGCATCCAACCATATAAAAGAAAAAAACTTCCAAAGTTTTGTATACATATAGTAAACTGGAGAAGCTAATAAAACTAAGTGAATCCGGTTGTGTACTATGTAAACTAAGACATCCAACGAAAGAACAAAAAATGTATGTTAACATTATTTCGACATTATTTTTCATATTTTCGATTTTTTCAAATATGTTTTATCAAGAATAAGTGTGGATGAAGGAAAGATCTACAATCAAATCTACATTCTAAGGAAACTACGATCTAAAAAAAAGACCAGAAAGTAATAAAAAAATTCTCCCGAGTTTTCAAAAGATCTGCCAAATCCATTCTGCAAATGCTTTTGATAAAATTAAGAAAAATGACAAAGATGATCGCTCAGATCTATCTAGCAAAAACAGATGTACATCAATTGCAGCTATCTCTTATCCATCTGTTAGTATCAGTTTGCAATCTATCAATGTTACAGTATTACCCCGAGCATCGCATATAATCATGATAACTAATTTTGAGATAATCAGTAGGTTCTATCAATAATTACTGATGATGAAAGGTCATGGATCTTTTCAAAATTTGTACTAAATCTACAGTGATGTTATCTATTTGTTTATTATTTTAATGAAAGTATATTCTTTTATACAAAAGATCACAGGTGTTTCAAGAAAATTTCAAATAAATTTTTTTGTTCGTTTTGATCTTCGATTAAGAGATTTAAAAAAAAAATTAAAAAGATACAATAAGATGAATTTCGATTTATTTTTTCATAAAATTGGTAATTCATGAGTAATAAAATCAAAGTGATGTTTAGAAAAAAAGATTTGAATTTGTCTTTTCTTTCTTTTAGATAATAATCATTTCTTCATTATCGATTTCAACTTTAATAAATATTGTATCATCTTTAATATATTCAAATGATGTCATTGTATCCACCTCTGTAAATTTCTGTGCACCAAAACTTGCATTTCTTTCTGTTACAGGACGACCTAAAAATGGTTTATTTTCTTTACATATATTTGGTTTAACACTATAGACTATAGGACGACGATTATCAATATCTTCACATTGATCGAGTAATGTAAATGTAACACGATGTGAAAATGGCCAAGATAATAATGCATCATAATCACTACGACAAATAGATATAAATAATGAAACATATTTTCCCTTTGCTAAATAAAATCAATAAACATATAATTAAATACTTTCTAAAAGAATTTTTACCTTTTCCATCACCATCCAAACAGATTGCCAATGCTAGTCGGTAACCATGTCGACTAGTTAAAAATGGTGGACTAAATAAAGTTGTTTTCTTATTTGAACGTGCATCTTGTAATCGTTCCTAATATATTAAAAAAACCTTCAATAAACTTTTCATTTAAATAATTTTCATTTTATCGAAGATATATTAGACTTGTTGTTTATATTAAAAAAATTCATTATTTTTATTTTTTTTTTATTTCTACCTGATAATGATCAATTTTCCATATATATTGTGCTCCATAAGTTTTCTCTAAAGCATTAACTTTTTTTGTTAATAATTCAATCCATTTTTTTTGTTCATTCATACGTTCTTCAAATGCTTGTAATAATTTTTTTTGTATAGCAATTGTTTTTCCGGCGACATTTAAATGAAGACCTGGTGATTCTTTTATATGTTCAGTAATATTTACTCGTTGACCACGATATTCACATCCACAATCAATGAATGGACAAGATAATTCTTGTTTTGGACATTCATTTTCTAAATGATTTTGCATCTAGATAAAATAAAAATAATTATTTAATATACTTAATAAAATTATTTACTTGACCACGTTTAAATTCATGATTTGAACATTTATTTGGACAAGGAATTTTAAATTCAGTACAAGTATTTAAATGAGGAATTTCATCTTCGAATATAATACTTGCTATGCCTTAATCAATACAATCATATTTATTATTTATCTTATTAATTAAATAATTATTCATACAAAATTCACAAGTAACTTTTCGTTTTGGACAATCTTCAGTTTGATGTTTAGTCATAAAACGTCTTTCAAATTTTCCTCCACATCCATTTGTACATTCGAACGGTACAAATCCACATGTCTCTACATGAGCCTAAATAATATTAAAAAAAAACATTAATATGGATTTTTTTTCTATTTAATTTAATAATAAAAATTTACTTACTGAAAAGTCTTTTAATATTCCCTTCCAATCACAACCTTTATCTTGATTTGAACAATAAATATTGAGACTTTGAATTTCTTTTTGTAATATTTTATCATTAACAATTCTATCACGTGATATTGGTTGTTGACAACTTGGACAACGTGGAGCAGCACTAAACAATACATAAAGCCCTTTAAATGATTCAAAAATAAAAATTTCTATTCATACCGCATAATATCCGGTAAACAACTTGAACATACATGATGACCACAATCTTCAAATTGAATGGGAAATTTTAAATAATTATTACATGCTAGACATTGATATTTTGATTCAAGTTGTCCACGTTTCCATTTTGGTACTGGTTCAGCTTTCCTTGAAAAGAAAATTATCTTTTCTTTTACAATAGTGTGCAAACTTGAAAATTGAATTCAGCTTCTACTTTTTATATATGAGTAAAATTAAAACACAAGTATCGCAGGATAATGAAGTTTTCTAGAGCTATTTTTTTTTAATGTTACATATATGTTAAGTTACTCTAGATACTCTGAAAAAAATCAGCATTAGAAACATTTGTTCCGAGGAGTCATCAGTAATAAAAAATTAACATCAAAAAGAACTGAGGAAGATTTTTTTGAAAAAGAAATGTAAACAATGCATAAGACTAGCATACCTAAATTTAAAAAAACAAAATGGATTCACTTTCCGTTGGCGACATGATGTAGTACGATTATTCAAACTAAAGAATGTTCTTACAACCGAATGAGAACTTTAATGACAATTTTAAACAGTACCAATCCTTCTTCAGAATCTCTAAATAATAATAAGATATTAGTAATTATTTTAGAATTCGACAAGATCTTTATAAAACCAGACTTTTAGAGTCTAGTCTTATAGAAAATTACACTATAGATGCGGTTCATACCGTAAAGTCTATTCTGAATTTTTCGGATATTTTTCTCATATGATTAGAGAATTATTTGCTAATTATTTTTTGAATTAATAGTCAGTTGATTGAACAAGCTAACACATTTTCATTTGTCTATGTTGAAAGAACTTATTCACAAAAAAAATTCTTGTGTTGAATCAAAGTCAAAAATACGACTTATCGATATCTACTAAGAGTATTTTTTAATAAATCTTGTGTATTTATTATATCAACTCGGGTTGTCTTTCTTTTACTAAAGATAGATTCTAATAATCGACTTAAGTGATTTTTAATTCTAATCAATTATTCAAGCATAATAAATGTTTAGTAGAGTTAGAGCTATGTTTGAAATATACTGCAAAAAAAAAGTTATTTACCGCTTGACTAGATCTATCGTTGGACGTAATCGAGCAGCAGATGCCATTGGGCTACGCAGTGATACCATAGAACCCTCATAAACAGGAATATTGAGTGGTGATTCGGTCATGTATTATTTTAGACCAAATTTTTAAAATCAAATGAAGTTGAATGAATAATTTTTTAAACTGAATAGCATTTCTTGCTTTTTTTTTGTTTCTTAGCACTTTAAATTTGTAATAAAGTACGTCATCAAATATTCACACTTTTTTTTTCTCTTTTTTTTATATTTTTGATTTAAAATAAAAGACGACATTTATGAAAACGAGTTAACACAAAATTACTTTTGTTAGAAGAAAAAAATAACGGAAATAAAATAAAAATTAGAGACATTTTCTCATATGAAAAAAAACATATATATATTTATATATATCATAGTTCAAGTGTCTTTTCCCAAGAATGCATCCTATTCTTCTAAAAGTATGGCATGCTATTTGCATAAGTTCGGATTGCTGAAAAGAAATCTTCAAAAAAATATCTCGGTAACTCAATGTCAATAGATGACGTCAAGACTTGTTTTTATTTGTCTCTCTTTTCACAAATATTGTTGAATAATAGAAAGAATTTTCTTAAATTGACAGTATCTTATTTGAATATAATCGATCAATAATATATTCTCTTTATTGATCTATTCTTTACTATGGGCATCAATTTCACCGGTTATTGTTACATCATCAACATCTATCTTCATTGTTGTTGATCGATCTGGCGTTATTGATAGGTTATATACAGACGGAGCGTGATGTTATAGTAGATTGAGGAGCAAAATGAATTTGTCACTTCCCTCTTCCATTCTCTCGCTTGAATGAACATACCGAAAGGGCGAGTATATATATATATGTATGTGTCTATATATATATGCGTATATGTAAGAGACTTCTCAAACTCATTACAATATACTATTGATGATCAAGTCCATATATTCTTGTTTTCTTTTGTTGTATTTTGTTTTTTCTTCTTCTTCTTCTTCTTTACATTCCGTCACATACATATTCTCATTTTCTTGATAAAACATCGAAAAGACAAAAGAGGTATCATATTTTGTGTGGCTGCTGGGTAGATGAGACGAAGTAAGAGAATAATTGCTCGTCCAAACACCATACTGTATAACTGCTGTTACGCACACACACACACATATACACGCAATAAATGCAGTACAAAAGAAGAGTTTGTATTTGGAAGAGAAGAGAAAAGAAAACGGAGAAAAGGTGAAGCAGATGCGATTGTACGTTAGAGAGGGTCAAATATGATAGTAAGTTTTAATTTTTTTTTTCTCTTGTACATCTATGTGATCGATTGATATTCAATAGTTGTGTTAGATACTCATCATCTTCGTTATTCAACGTACTTATTAAAAGAGAAAAAGAAGGACAAATGACAGACACCAATACTAATGAACATCGTATCTATTATTTTTTTTTCATGTCATAGTTCTCTTATTGCACTATAATCAATTATACTAGCATCACTTTGTCTGTCTGTTACATTATTTCTTTTATAAAGTGTGATCTGCATTGTCAAAATATTTATCTACTAATAATCAATTTTTCTTCATTTTTTTTTCTCTTATTTCACCATCATAGGTGTGTTAATGAAACAGTTTTTCCAATTTTTTTCTTCAAATAATCGATATTGATTGCATTGGTCGCTATTGTCAAGGTAAAGTGTATTGTGTGTTTGTATTAGTTAGACATATCAAAATTATTATACTTTTTTTAATATACATGTGTGCTAAATGCCCTGAAGAGAAAAGAAAAAGAAGTCACGGTGACGCAATAGCAAAAAAAAAAAAGTTTTGTTATTCTCTTCGGATCCTTGAGTAGACGCACATAGGAAACGGCATCAAAAAGAGAAGTACATAGAGAAGACGAAAAAAAAGTGGCGATTTCACTGTGCCCATTTTTTCTTCTTCTATCCTTGGTTTGAAAAAAATGATTTCCTACCGTAGTCATCACATTAATATATACACATAGATCTCCTTGCAAATGTTTCATTTTCCGTGAACACACAAGACATAATCTAAATAAGTAGTAAGCACAAAGTTCAACTTCCGATTTAATGATTCAAAATCGTGAAGATTATTTTTTTTATTACCGTAAATACGATCGATCTACGTCGTTTGCTCATGGCTAAGAAATATACATGAAAGAAATTTCTATTCATGTCTATTGCATAGTCACATCCTTTCTACTAATTAAATTTGACTTGCACGAACTATGTTTCTCGGAACAATCATTGTCTTGTTCTTTTTTTTTGCATGTTCTTCTCATGTTACGTCGTTTTTTTTTCATCGTCTCTATTGTTTTTTATATGCTCTGCAAGATCTTTTTGTTGCGTTTCTCTATAACACAGATATCAAGAATCGATTTCTTTGTCTTACTAAATAACCATCGTCATCTTACAGATATCTTGATTTGGTTCGTGACAAATTTTTATACAAATCTTTATATACTAATCAAAACAGTATGGGTGATGTTGAGTTTCTTCTTGTTCTGCGTTCCTTGTCGCCTCCGGATAATATTTTATTGACAACAACCAAAGCGAGACACAGAGAGAGAGAGACCGAGGAAAAAAGATTATGACTGAATGATTCTAGATATAAAAAAAAAAAGAACGAACAACAGGAGAAATGGATCGTGCCTGGTTTCTTCATGTTGCTCTCTCTTTCTCTCCCCCTCTCTATACTCGTTTGTTGTTGTCAGAGCAAGTTAGAGTAACATAAAAGAAAGCATATGATGATATACGATAAGAAATATCTCTAACCGAGATGGTTGGCAAACAGAGAGAAAGAGCACGTATGATGAGCAAGTTCTTTTTTTCTTTTTGTTATTCTTCTGTTTATTTGTCACTCGTAGATCCTTTTTTTTCTGTTGATACTATTAGTAAACTAAAATCTATTATTTAAATCAATATTCGTTATTCTGTTCTTTGTCAACAAAGTTAACTAATGTAGATATATATTCGAAAAGGTAGTCGATCGAATGTAATTTGGCATCTTGTCGAAAATGTCAATATTATTTGAAATCATTGCTTTTATTTTTTTCCTCTCTTTCTGTCTTGTTCTTGCCACATTCTTTCTTCTTTTACATTTTTTTTTTATTACTTCTTTTTTACCTTCAATCATGTCCCTGTTTGCTATTTAGAAAATGAGTCCAAATTGTTTCGAAACGATGACAACAACAAGGGCACAAAACGATATGACCTCATCAGCATCATCCGCTACTCAATCATCAACAACAATATCATCATCACCATCATCAAATTCATCTATTCCACTTGTACCATCATCATCTTTAGATACACATCATACAGGTGGTCATATAACATGTGTTATTATTGGTGATTCTGGTGTTGGAAAATCTTCATTAGTTGTTAGTTATACAACAAATGATTTTCCAACACAATATGTACCAACTGCATTTGATAATTATTCTGTTGATGTTTCTGTTGGTACTCGACTTGTTCATTTCGACATTTGCGATACAGGAGGAAAGGTAAATAACATGTATATTTATATATACAAATGAAAGAACATCATCATGATAACCTTGAGACTTCCTAATACACTTATAAGTAGAACATTGATATAATTGTAAAGTAGAAAATATGGGCAATAGGCATGCTCATAATCATAGTTCTTATCGGTAAGTAAAATAGGCAAATATTATTTATTATTATTAGTTTTTTTTTGCTCTCTTCTATTTCGATCAGTCGAAGAGAATATATACATGCAAATCGGTACTATTTTGTCCGATAGGCATCGACAGGAAACACAATTATTTATATTTAACTTGAATCAGAAGAGAGAAGAACTCGAGAAAATATATCAAACGTCCTTGTTTTTTTTTCGTCTACTTTTTACATACTTCACCGGTGGAGTACTTGATTATATTTTTCCAGTGGTGTAGTGCTATGATTTCAATGATTATAAAATAATAAATTTTACTCATAATGAAAACTTGTTAAAAATAGAATTTATGAGCATAGTTGATATTTTATAAGCTGCGTATGGCCTTTAAAGGAATAGAAGTTTATTTGAAATGTGATACATATCGTCGAATATTTTTATAGATAACTTATTAGAAAAACGTAAAGCTTTCCAAAAAGAAAACTACTTTGTTCAGTAGACTTTTGCAGAGTTATTTGTACTGATAATATGGATAAACATTTTTTTCTGAAATGCGAGATACAAATGATAGTAATAGGCGTTAAAATACTGAAAAATGTCATAGCCTTAACAAATAGGATGTGTACATGTAGAGTTTTCTACTTGTTTTATTCTAGTACTTACATTTGCATGTTAATTTAGAAAGTTTATTTTATTAAAACCATTAAGAAAGAAGTTCTAAAAAGCCTAATAGATCAAACATTTTTCTAAGAACTTCATAGTTTTATGATTAATTATCGATGAAAGTACTTGATGACATGTGTAACATTTAGAAAAAAAAAAACTTGCCTTCTTCTAAAGGTCATTATCATCTTATGAAATATCAGCTATGCTCATAAATTCTATTTTTAACAATTTCTCATTAGAAGTAAAAATTTATTATTTTACACTATTTCAATTCACAGCAATATCCTACTGAAAAAATATTTTCCTACACTCTGTCTATATGAAATACTCATATAAGGCAAATAGAAATCTAAGAATTCTTTAATTAATGTAAATTTGATCCGCTTTTATCAGATTTCATTTGTTAATAATCGCTTTTTCTTTCCTAATATTGATATAAATTAGATTCGTCATAAACGATATGTTTGCGTGAGAAGTAAGAAGCTTTGTCTTGAGTTTTCAACAGGTCAATCTATCAATAATACATTTATCTTTTTTCTTATCATATGTAAATCAATTGTATAACAGTGAACAAACTAAAAAGAAACTCTTATCAAATGTAACCGAACTGATATAGAATTGAGAAATTTCATTTTACTTCAACTGTTTAATTTATTTTCATATTGTATAAATAATTATTAATCAATTCATTAATATCATGACGAAAAAAAAAACAAATAATAATCATAGAAGACAAAATCTCAATAGAATATCAATTGAATAAATTAGAACTAATGAAAAAAAAAAAAAAAATTTTTTTTTTATTGTTTAGGAACAATTTTCACCTTTACATGGTCTATGTATCCCATACAGCGATGTTATATTACTATGCTTTAGTGTTGTTAATCCTCAATCATTTCAAAATGCAATAACATATTGGTTATCACGTGCACGTCGTTCCAATTCAAAGATTCCAATTATACTTGTTGGTACACAAATGGATCTTCGATCAGATTTACAAACATTATTAACACTTGATCAACAAAAATTAAAACCGGTGACTGAAAAAGAAGCACGCGCACGTGCACAACAAATGCATGCTTGTACTTATATTGAATGTTCATCATTAACGGAAAAAAATCTTAAAACTGTTTTTGATACAGCTGTTTTAACAGCTATTGAATTTCGTGATGGAAATACAACACCATCATTATCATCAACATCGATTATGCCTATAATTGAACAACAAAAACAAGATCAAACAACAAATAAACAACAACGAACACGTCATCATCATCATTCACATTCAATGAAAACTTGGAGAAAATTAGTATCGGGCTGTATTGGTGTTTGAGAATATTTTGTTTATTTGTTTCTCCTTCTTTTTTATTCTTTTGTTGCTTGGGTTACATACAAAACTTTCTTCTTTTTTTTTTTTATTCGTATATTTGTACGTGTGTGTGTGTGTGCGTGTGCTTTTTTTTTCTATTTTGATTTGTTCGAATGGCAAATTATTCGACGCATGAATTGAAAGTCTCATCAGAGACTGATCTATTTTCAATTATGTCGAAGTCACTTTCATTAAAAAGTGATTATGCATCTATTAATGAAGAAAATCATTCATGGAGATATCTAGCTAAAACATATTTTAACAATAGTAAACAATTAAAAAGTTCAATATCAAATGTTTTTGTAAAAGATAATACATCAATTAATTATTATAAAAATTTACCAGGTGCTATGCCTATAAGTATGAATGATATGTTAAAATCACAAAATACAAATGCACCATGGTTATTTAATATATTAAAAAAAAAATTTCATCGTTCAAGAAAACATAAAAAAGATAGACAAGTATCAAATGAAATAGATTCAAATAATTCATTATTATTAGCAGAAGAATTATTAGAAAAACCAATTACTAGTGATGGAACTAATGGAAAATGGATTATTAATGAAACAGATATTGTTTGTCCATTGATTAAGGTATGCAATAGAGGGATGAAAGCTCCTATTTCTTATCATTTGTGTTGACGACGAAATCTGTCTAGGTGTTACATCCTTTTTCGATCGAGATTATGCTTATTTGATGGGTAATAAGCTGTGATCTCTTTTAGATCACACGAAAGTTTCGACTGCAAACTTTGCATGAGCAAAGTTCTCGATGTGATTAGTTCATTGACCGATTTGTAATTTTTTCACTATGTAAAAGTAATTTGTTTTTTATTTATTTATATTTTTCTAAAAGGAAATAATAACCACAGTTTTTTGTTGAAAAACTAAGCAAAATTTCGAATTCTCAAAACTGAAGATTCGAAAAATAACACGGTTCTAGATCTTTTTTTTATTACGCATTAGTACTGATCAAAAGAACACCATCTTGATCGAAAAGCGATTTGACTAATTAACGAAGTTTTCTCGTGAGTTATCGAATTGGTGATTTTTTCTTATCTATAAATTTCTAAAAGTTCAATTTCGGCAAACTTGCACAGTGTAATTATCTTCCAATGAAAGCTGTCACATCAAATGAAATTCGTTTAATCGATTGTTTTTAGATGAGTATATCCCATTAGGATTGGAAATCTTTTTTTTTTTTTGATAATTTCAGAATTTTGATACATCTACTTCTGGTCAATATAATATATCTCGTGCAATGTCATCATCAACATCACCTGTTCCACTTGCTACAACTGATTCATTACATTTTTGTCATTACCATTATGATTTTCAAACATTAAATACACCAACTGCTTCACCACCATCATGTTTAAATGATTATCAACCAAATGTTTCATCAGACATTATTAATGAAAGTAAAAAGAAAATATCTAATGATGAAGATACTCCTATAGATTTTACTTCCATGGCATCTATGGTTAAAACTTATTATACATCTAGTTCACAACCTATCGATTTACATAATATTCGAGATATGGAAATGCCTTCATTTTCGTCTCCTTTATTATCATCAACACTTGAATCAACTATTGACGATATAAATTTAGTTAATGGTAATTCAACACTACAAACAACATCAAAACGATCAAAATCTGCATCAGCAGCTCGAAGTCATCGTATGATGAATTCAAGTTCAACAAAGAGAGAACAAAAACGATCTAAATCAACAAAGAAAAAGAAAAGTAAATATTATCAAGAACATATATTAAGTTCTGAAGAAATCGAATTACGAGAAGCATTACGTATTATTGATTTGGATAATATTGGATTTTTTCCACCAAGTGAATTACGTAAAGTATTAAAAGAAATTGGTATTAATTCGAATGATATTGAAAAAATTGAACGATGTTTACCACTTGATGATGATGGACATTATTCAATTGATAATGTTATTAAATTATTTTTAGGTACAAAATCAACATAATATCATATTAATTTATTGAATGGACAAAAGTTGTTATTTTCTTTATTTTTTAAAAAACTAAAAATCAGGATTCTAATGGTCAGAAAAAAAAAAGGTTAACAAGAAAAAGAAAATGAGAATATTTTAGATATTAAAGCCAGCTGCTCGCATACAAGCTCGATGAGCTTCAATTTCTTTTGAACAATTTTCTTCTCCATTCAAGATGACACATTCATCACGTATTATTTTTGTTTCTGGACATGCACAACATGCTTTACATTTCGGTTTTGTTTCACTATTATCAACAGTTGGTTGTGATGAAAGATTTTTATCAGCAACAGCAGCTAATGGTTGACTTTTAGCTTGATTTGAACCCATTCTTTAATAATACCAAATAAATGTAGATTATTTTAATGAATATCTAGAAAACAAAAATAATTCATACTCATCCAATGTTTATATTTTAGCACTAAAAATCTTTTTTCTTATCCTTAGAATATCTCTGAACTTTAGTAATTCATTCTGATAAAGTCAAGTGATCTTCAAGTTTTCAAACTTTTAGGAATAATAATATTCTTTTTGATGATCAGATCTTCATAGTTCTTTTATGTTATGTCTTATTCCTATTGATTTAATCTATAGGTTCAAATGAACCACAAGTAACAACTAGGCTACTATTTTATATGAGAAATCTAAAGATTAGTAAATATTATGAAGCATTACAATGTCTATATTAATTTCTACAGATTTCAATCTCTTCACTGTAAAATTCAATCTTTATTATCACATAGAATCTAATAGTTAGTTAAAAAAAAATTTTTATATATCATTTTATTTTTTTAGGTCATGAATCCGATTGTTTTTTTGTTTAAGAAACAGACAAATTTTTTTGTAAGTAAGCCATATAAAGCGAGAATTGATTTGAAAGAAACCGAAAAAATAAGAAGTAAGTAACGATGTGTACGAGAACATGACGACAACAACAAAAATTAATAACATAAAAAAAAAAGAAAAACAAAAAAACGAACACAAAAAAAACAAAAAAGAAAAATAATTTTCTGATTTTATATAGTTTTCTGAGACTTTATATGTATATCAAACACAGTAGGAAAAAAAGGGAGGAAAAAGTTAAAGTCGTGTTTTATTTGTTTGTTTCCTTAGGCAGCGCATATTAAGATCGTTTGATAACAACAATAAGAAAAAAAATATATATAGATTATGAGATAGATAGATAGAGAGACTGTTATACGATCTCACTGTAATAAATTGAAAAAAAACATATTTTCTTTTTCAATTTTCATAATACGTTGTTTCAGCGCTATGTGAAGTCAATTGTTGAATATGTCGGAGAATATCTTTTTTAGTTATTATTCCTCGTAGTCGTCTAAAATAAATCAAAGAAGATGAAAAAAAAAATTTTTTTTTAATTTAAAACTAAAAATTTACCCATTGCGTGTTACAAATGCTTGTCGAAGACCTAATTTACGAAATAGATCAATGACTGTTTCCATTGGAGTTTGATCAGTAATAATAATTGGTGCCTACGAATATACGTAAAATAATAACAATAAAAAACAAAGTAAATTTCTTTTTTTCTTTGCAAACCTGATCAAGTAAATTGCCAATTCGAATAACTTCTGAATTTAATGTTGGTCGTAGTTCATTTTGATTATCAACTTCATTATCTGAATTTATTGTTGTTTCCGATGGTGATGTAAATTGAATAAGACTTTGTGAAAGACGAAAACGTTGCATTTTTTGTGATTCTAAATATTAAATATTTATCGTTTATTTTCATATTGATGGAACTAAATGATTATTTGTATCAATTAATAACTCTAGAGAATATTATTTATATTTGCTATTAATGATTTATCCCCTGTTGGGTCATTTTTTAACTTATAGAAACTATCAAAAGTATTAGATTGAGATGATTTTCGAATATTATCTAGAGTCTTCACAATAAGCTACAAATTTTTAAAAGAAATTAAATATCTCTTTCATCATTTATAAATTTCTTAATTTCCGATATGAAAGTACCTTTTTTATGATAGTTAGAGCCAATATTTTACTCAACATCATGCTACATACTATATTAGAGTTACTATGCAGTTAAAAAATGTTCTATGGTTGTGTTTAAATAATTTCTAATTGATAAAAGTTAGAAATCTGTAGCTTTTGTTATGACTTTCTTTTCGAACGAGATCTTATCAATAGGAACGTGTAGTTTCCAATCGAAACTATCCAACTTTGTAATTTTTTAACTCAGGGATGTATCGAGACCACCAGGATTGGAGTGATCAAAAGACTTTTGCTAAAATTGATCGAATTTGATGAGACACACGGTTTTTTACGTTTCAAAATTCTGAATAAAAACAAAAGCTTTTCAAGATTAGGATGTCACATCCTCGATTTAGCTTTATATAAACAAAAATAGCTGCAAAAAACAAAAATCCAATTAATCATAAAATGCAATTCTCATGTCATTTATGACCTATTCTATATCTCTCCGATGACATAACTTGACTGAAATCTAATCATAGTTTTATCAATAATCAACACTTGCATAATCTATTCCCATGATTAACTCAATAGGAAGTCTACTAGAAATGTTAATATTCATTATTTCTATATGAAAATAAAAATTTCAAAAATATATTTTTATATAAAATATACATACTAAGAGCAATTTGTAGATCGCGTCTTTGTATTTGTCCAACAAGATATGGTTGTTCACGTGAAACAACAACAGGATATGATGTATGTGTTGTTTCTTTTAAAAGATTTTCAACTTCTATAAATGTCATACCATTTTGTGTTAAATAAGCTAATGATAAAGATTGTTCTGGTCTATTAAAATAAATTTTGTTTTTTTGAAAAAAAAAAAAAAGAAATTATTATTAAAAATCTTTTTTTTACCTTGGACGCATAACATCAGCAGCTATGGTTGTAAAATTAAATTCTTCTTTATTATCCAAAAATGGATAACCATTTAATTCAATATGTGCATCATAAATTCCACCGCGTACAAAACCATCACCAATCCATTTAGCTGTCATTGCTGCTGCCATCAATGGTACGATATAATTTAAACCACCTGTTAATTCAAACATAATAACAACAAGTGATACAGTCATTTTACTAACACCACCCAAAAAGGCACATGCACCAACAATAGCATATAAAGCTGGTGTAACACAATTTTCCTCTTTAAAACAAAAAGCAAAAAAAAAAAAGAAGAATTTTTAGATTTAATTAAAACAATAACAGAAAAAAACAAACTGGTAAGTTTACCTTTACTACAATCATGACGAAAAAGAATAAATGCTGGATTTTGTATAGCTAATTGTTCAGTTATAATACCAATAATACGTCCTGTTATAGCTCCAATTGACATTGATGGAATGATTAAACCTGATGGAACTTTAACACCTATAGTAAATGTTACAAGTATAACTTGAATAATAAGAGCAAAAAATAATTTCCATATAGCTTGATGTACACCAGGACCAGCTAATCCTATTGATCCTTTTAATTTACCATTACTAAATTGAGCATTTGGATAATCACTTAAAAGAAAATATTTAATATTAATAAAAAAAATTCTATAGAATTTTATTTATTTTTTTTCTTTTACCATAAATCAATCATATCTTCTACACGACATTGACTAACTAAACGTTTGATTAATTCAGACATTGACATACGTGTATATGAATTTGGATATATAATAAAAGAAGTAATTAAGGCAAGAAAAACAACCTGAAATATAATATATATATTTATTAAAAATGAATAAGAAAGAAAATTATTTATATGAATTAGAACAAATAACAAATGAATCCATTTTTCTGCACTTAAAAAAAGAAAATACTAATGAGGAAACTACTCGAATTGATATCTAACATTTGAGTTCATGCTTGACCTATAAGGATATCTTAGTGAGACAAATAAATCTGTACAATCATTCAAACTTATGGACATTTCTATATATATATTTGATCGTTTTTACTAAATTTTCAAGTATATTTGTAACACATCTTTAGCAAGTGATAATGTTTTGAAGACTCAATAACACAATGTTCTGTTAATCATTCGACCTATCTATGAGCTAAGTTTTAAATTGAAATTCCATTTATTTGATGTTTCAACACACAACATCGAAAGAAGAAATGAGATTACATCGAATCATAGATTACGAGTTCTCCTAAGATGTTTTCTAAAGTTTTTTTTTTAAAGAAATTAATACAAAAAAGTGCCAAGAAAACTATTCCTTTTAACAAAAGAAAAAAAGTAACAATGTAATTTTCTTTTTTTTTACAAAAACTAATTGAAATATTGGTTGAGAATTTTGACTAGAATATTTCCTGCATAATTGAATCTACACATCTAACGCTTATGGTAGTTCTTCTATTGATAGTTCGGATGTACACATCATGATTGAAAAATTTTAAAAAAGCTTACAGTATGTATTAATTCAATTAGTTCTCTAATAAAATCAATTATATTCATATGATCATGAAAAAAAAATCTTTTAATTGTATTTCTAATCGATTGAAATTATTTACTTCAAGTATTGTATATTGTCCAAGTCGTGAATTTTTTCGAAAACGACACCACCAAACATTTGTTTTTATAAAAAATGCACCCCATAAGCCCTAAAAATTTGAATAAATAAATAAATAAATATATATCTATTGTATTATTATTATTACCCCAAGAATGCCTAATAAAATAAATGGTAATAATTCAAATGATGCCCATGCTACAGAATAATCAATACTAAATTGAATATCATGTCCATTTCCATATGGATTTATTGAACGCACAACAAGTGCACCAACCATAGCACAAAAAAATGATCGCCATAATGTTTTATATGGAAAATAATATGAAACTTCTTCTAAACTAAATAAAACACCCCCTAAAATTTAAAAAAATAACAAATGTTTTACAAAAACAAAAAAAAATAAAGAATCTTTTTTTGTTTTTCGTTACCGATTGGTGCACCAAATGCAACT